TTTTTTTCCATGAACCATACATTTTTTGGTTTGTCGCATATATCTTTATCAAAGTGCAAAAGTTGATCTTGCTAGGAATAAAAATGTATTTTTAACAAATTTTTAACTGCGACCACTTTTATGTGCGAATCGCCGAAATGAAATGGTATGTAGAAAATAGGTGTACTTTGAGGGGGTGTGTGAGGCTGAAAGTTGTTTTTATCACAAAATAACTTATGAACTTCTCTTAGTTGGAGATTTAGCTGTAACTTGACATCAAAACATCTAAGTTTCAAGACAGTCGATTTTTGTATTTTTGTCCACCTTCGCGGCACTGTGCGGCAGCGTTTTTACCGCCGACGTTTGTCGGTTGATTCAAATTTATTAATATTTTTACCGCCCAGCGGGGACGGAGCAATATTGATTGAGTGCTGATTGCAGTAGTTTTTAATATTTTCACAAGTTTGGCAATGTTTCCGTCCATTTTTATTTCCAGCAAATCTACATATGTACACGCACGAACCGAAAATTTTTTAATTTTAGTGATAATTTTCAACAGAAAATTACAACCGACGGCAGCCCTTGTGCGCCGCAATTGTGTTTACTCTGACGGATTTCATTCACTTACCATTGATCGCTTTGCCGTCGTCCGCTGTAATTCGGAGTTGACCTTAGCATTACAAAAATACAGAATTTAAGGTACAATTTACATGTGTACATATAGAGGGCTTATATTCAATACCCCCCTTCAGCAATTTCAATCAAAAATACTTTCACTTCCCCAAATAATTTCTGGAGGTTGCCTAAAGAAGGATATGGTGATTCAGGTTTGGCTACGTTAATATGGCAGTCAGTCCAAACGACATTATCACTTAGACCCTGAGGGTCCATTTTGATACAACTGTGAAGCATAGAAACCTCGTTGTCTGTATTTTATGGCATCCATTTTGAAGCTCTTATGAAGCGTAGAACTGCTTTTATTCCTTCACCGTATAGTTGCGGGAGAGAGAGTAAGACTTGCTTACCTAAAAAGCCGGCTCTGCTCTTAGCTAAAGCTGGGTAACTGGAAAAGATATGATCGACGGTTTCTTCATCTTCCTCATCTCTGCAACTTCTACAAAATTCATAGAAGAATACTCCTAATCTCGAAGGATGCCTACCAAATAGTCAATGACCGGTTAAACAGGCCATGGCCATCAAAATGTCCTCCTTTTGGAAGCTGAGCAGTTCTTCTGTTTTTTCTTATCAATTTACGGCCTTATTAGCCTAGCTGTTCTACAAAATGCCCTCATCTAACGATGACCAATTGGCCTCTTGGATAATGCTATTTCTAATAATTAATTTGCAGGTTGCCACAGGTATGCCAGTTGTACTTCTGTTTCTTACACAGTGGAAGGTTGATACCTTTTCTGGCTAGCCGGAGCCCATATGAGGCTAACTTTAGCACCGTCGCTAATGTAATTTAGAGTTGCCAGGCATTCCTGTGCAACCTTTGAACTTAGCATTGCAGCATTCATTGATTTGATGGTCGCCTGACTATCACAGAAGATGTTAATCGTTGTCTTCGTCACGCCGTGTGTGTTAAGGAGTGATCTTTCTCCACGCATATCCCTCCACAGGGTGGAAGGGAGAATGACCGTCTCTGGTGTAGAGGTCCAATAAACATCTTCTCGCACGTATCGAAGCTTAACGGAAGAGTTGGAGGAGGTTTCTACTGTCAGGAACTCTCAGTAAAGCTTATGTTTAGACTGCCGCATTTCTGCAGCGTCTTTCAGGCAGAGGTGGCGCTATAAAAGAGGCAGCCGATTGGCTACGAACTAACTTTTTGTCGACTAGGAGGTTAAATATCTGCTCTGATAGCCAAGTGGCAATCAGGGCGCTGGGATCGCAAATGGTACGATTGAAACTGGTCAGGTAAACCTTGGCCTCTTTCACAATCGCCTCGGAATACTTCCAAATCCATTGCCATTGCCTACTGTTATTGGAAAATACTTTTCTTTAGAATCCCTTTATCGGCAATAGATTTAGACCTCATATATGTACAGTATTCTGAATTATGTATGTACTATCTATTTCTCATATTTAGCGACATTTTCATCACGACGAGTCGACTCGTTTCAGTTTTTGTTGCCTTCAATTCACTAGCATTTTGAAGCGTTTCTGAATTTTCTATTCTTTATCAATACTGGTCATAAAAAATGATGTGCTTTGTTGTTCGGCATACATAATTTTATTTGTAGCGTAGACACTCTCCTAACCCCATTTCTTTTGCATCGAATCCTCTTCAATCTCCACGTATTCCTCCTGACCTCAAAATTGTACGATAAAAACATTTCAAACCTCAGTGTACTCACGACTATAAACTCCACACACAAAATCTTTCTTTCAGAGTCCGGACAAATTATATATTAAGGTAGTAGAATTAGAGCCAAAGATCACAACACTAGGCACGAATCTCGATGAGTCCGTACGCTTGCAGAGGGATCACGATGAGACTCTTAGGAATATACAGGTACGCCATTAATTTGGAAAACAAACATAATCTTACACATACAAATTTGTTCTGCTCACCCTTTCTTTCCTCTTTGTTTCCTCTTAGAACCTACCCGGCCCAATGGACGAATTCGTGCAAAAAGCGGACAAACTGCTCGCTAGCAAGCGCATCAGTTCGGAACTAGTCAATGCCATGGCCGATACGCTTAATATTATTTGGCAAGATATCCTGCATCTCCTGCACGACCGTCAACATATACTCCACCTTGCCACACAATTTCACGAAAAGATGGTGCAGTGTCAGCGCCGCATGGATCAGTTGGAAGTCGCCTGCATCGACACAATGCTGCCTATCGAAGTGGCAGCGGTGCAAGAGTTCCTGAACAAATTCAAACAGCTGCGCATCGATATGCTCACCGCGGTTATGGCAGCGCTGAAAGATGGCAATGAGCTGTTGTCACAGCTAAAAGAACTCGTCGACCTCGAATCGTTAGACACGCGGCCCGAACATATCAAACGAGATGCCACACGCGCCGTTCATCAAGTGCAACAGTGGCTGGAGGCGTTACACGATAGACGCAATGCGCTGGAGAGCGCGTGGCAGACGCGCAAAACACAGCTAGAACACTGCCTTACATTGGCGCTGCTCGGCCGTGAGCTAGACGAGGTAGAGACGGCATTACGACAGCAGCGCAACGAAATCGACAGTCTCTTTAGTTTGGGCGAGTGCGAGCATACGGCGAATAATGCGCTGCACAACTATCGCGAATGGAAACAAGTGGCGCTACAACTGCGAGATCGCGCACTCAAAATCACACGCGCCAAAGAGAAACTGCAGGCGTCGGGTACCTTTACTGGCGATGAGGCGTGTGCACGCGCATACAATGTGCTTAGCGCGTGCACGGAACACCTGGACCTGGTAGATCAACGTGAACATTGGCTGCAGCAATCGCGTGATTTCTTCGCCAAAGCCGAGAATACGTTGAGCGTGTTGGAGAAACTTGAAGTGGAGTTGGCGAATGTGCGACTGCCACCAAATTCGCCAGAAAGTTTTGCAATGTACGCGAAGGTAGCGCGTGATGTACGCAGCTTCACCGAGGAGCCACTGCGACTCGGCTATAGTATACTGGACGAGGTGGGGCGCACGCAACCGGAGACGCAAGGTGTGAAGCGAGTGCTTGACGAGATCGAAAACCGTAAAACCTATATCGAAAGCGTATGTTCGACAAGCAACGAGGATCATCAGCGTGTACAGAAAGCGCTTTCGGACTTTCTCGCCCAATACAATGATTTACTCAATTGGTTGATGTCTTCGGGGCAATTGTATTTGCAGCAGCATGTCGATATGGGTAGCACGCTACAACAGAGCAAACAATTTTTGCTGCAGCACCACGAGCTCATGCAGGATCTGGAGGTGAGTTTAATCACTTACACATCTGGCAATTTTAAACTAAATGAAAATATTTTATGATTTCAGATCAAGGGGGAACTAATAAATCTTCTGCTCGAATCCATTAAGGCGCATCTAGAATCGTTGAGTCCGCAGCAACGTTACGATGTAGACTCGAAGGCTGAGGCGCTTCACAAGCATTGGATTGAGCTTAAGGATTTGGTGCTGAAACGTGTCGATTGCGTTTCGATGCTAATTGAATTTTTCGAGAAAGCGAATGAGCTCGCTAGTCAGCTGGATAATTTGGATAAACAGCTAAAACAGACGCCAGACGAGCAGAAGCTACAGTTCCTGCAGGAAAATTGGAAACATATACGTGACGATTACGCTGATTTAAAGAGTTTTGGAATGCGATTTGTCAACTTGAAAGTGTGTATACCCTTTTTTTAATAGTAGTTTTTTATTATTTAAATAAACTAGGTATACTTATGTATAATTAGGTTTGTTTATTCCTAAGTATGTGAATGTAATTCTCCGGTCTAAATGCACACATATGTAATATTAGGGGACTCACAAGACGTGTTTAGGATCATAATGGCTTAAGGTATCCGCACACTTTAGCTATTCCGTCGGAACAAATCTGCACCGCATAAATGTCTGACTGCGTTTTTATAACTTATAGTAGGCCTTGCTGTATTTTTAGCTGCGACAGATTCGCACAAGCGGGGTATGCCTTAAAAATTTTTTCAACGTTAAAATGCTTCTAGGGGATTTGTATGTACACTACCGGGATAGAATATATACAGGGTGTCCTAGACCACCCATACGAATTATTCCGTTATTTAGAATTGAGTGAAATGTTCCTCTGAAATATGCACTTCCAAGAAAAAAGTTTCAAACGAAACTTAAGTACTTTTATCCTCAGAATTCGAATTCGTAGTAGAAACATGTATGTCTAATTAAAAAAAATGAATTTTCGGTCGGAGCCAGAAGTCGGTGAAGCCACCAAAAGATAGAGCGCCCCTAATTTGGTAGGTAATATTTTTGACTTTTTCCATTAAAAAAAAATTGTTCCCTTTAATTTTGTAGGGGCGGAGGGGTGGTTTAGGACACCCTGTATAATCAGATCTTATTGCACCCTGTGAATCCCCTACATATGTATGTGTATAATCAGATGCATGAACAATTTATTATATTGCTTGTTTCATTCGCAACTTAATTTATATCACTTAGCTATAAAATTGATACTAACTGCTTAAATAATTAATTTTGTTTGAAAAATCACTTTATATTCATACATAAATAATTACATACATACAACATAATTTAAAAAAATTGCATAAAAAAGGAAACTTTCAACGGTTCGTTTACACTAAAGTTAAGTAAACGAATATTTTCTACTATGGGTAGACGAACATTTTTCGTTTCTAGAGGATAATTTGAACTTAGTGAAATGTTATCCTAGTTATCTTTTGAATTATTCCGTATACAGTGGCGAAAATATAAATAGGGGAGAGAAATTTAAGCATTCTTTCGCTATTTAGTTAGTTAGACACCGAGACTTGTAAGATCTTTTGTATCTCTTAAAGAGAGAGAGTTCCCAACACAGTGTGGCCAATATACCTTCGTCTTCCCTTATGAATCCTAAAAGGATCTTGGTAGGTGAAAGTGTCAAAATGTGCCAAATAAAAAAATAAAAGTACCAAAAAAGGTGCCATTCTTTTTAGTTTTTCCCATTTTGCATTAAAATTGGAAACACGTTCCTAAAAAAAGTCCAGTGTCTAGTAAGATAAACCAGTTGTATACAGTATAGAATTAGAAAATTTTTGTTGAGAAAAAGAAGTACATGCAAAGGATTTCACAAAACTTTATTGACAAATTATTATATTTCAAAAGTGCCATTTTGGTACTTTGTGCCAAATTGAAAAATTAAGTGCCATTTGAAGTAAAATTGGGCCGAAAATGGCACGGTTTGAGCCAAGTTGGCAGCCCTGAGTTTGATGTCATTTCTATTTTCAAAAATTATATCGTGTCTATGGTTCCCACTGCTCCCCACCATAGCATATACCTTTCGTTTATTTATTTTTATTATTCCTTTTCATGAGACTGTAGCTCGTTATCTAACGAAAATCATGTAAGTCAAAATTTTAAACTTTGTACAAAAATTAGCGAAATTCTACCAAGTTATATTAAAAGTTTGAACTATATAATACGATTTTTTTTTGGAACATTCTAGGTATGCAGTTTTGTAGCCAAATCAGTTTTATTTTAACGAAGTTAAAATTTTTTCGCATTTTTCTTTTTTTGAAGGTGTTTCTCATTTTCTCCATACAAAAAAAAAATTTCCAACATTATTTGTATGGAAGAAAATGCATGAACAAATAATTGCCAAAAATCAACGGCAACTTCTTGCTACTACAAACTTGCACTTTGTTTACTAAAATTTAATGAACTACAAAACTGCATACCTAAAAAATCTAGCGTCGCAACAACTAACGCTTTAAAATAAATATAAATACAGGGTGCCACAATGATGATAATGACTAGGGCGATATTATATTATTTGATAAACCAAAATCCAGAACCAAGCGCCAAAGCCCCTATAGACCCAAAGCAATAGTTTCAGAAGTATCTGTCAGTTTCCTTTTTTTGCCAAGCACTCGTCTATAGATTTTTTTGGTCTGCCTCTATTTTGATCGGTTGACTTGGCGAGGCTTTTCTTCGTCAAGTAAACTAATATTCGCTAGCCAATTTTCTCTACACAATTAACGCACAACAAATGGGTTTTACTTTGTTGTAAATAAAGTTCAATTTCCTTGTTATGTCTCCGAAAACGTCTGTTGCTAAATATATAACATTCTCATCACATATAAGAAACTCATACGCCATGTACGTATTGAATTTTTTTTTTTTTTGTATTCGATTTGAATTTTTCCATTATAAATGGTAGATCCAATATGGATAGCCCATTAAGAATTTTTAAAATCCTAAACTCGCTTTGAGTTAAGCAATCCCGAAAACCCCGAAACTCAAGTTGCGAGGAAAAATTTTTAATTTTGAAATAATCGCCCTCCATTTTCGATCAATCAGCCATTTTGATATTTTAAAATTTGACACGTGATTTGTATTCAGCGATTCCAAAAAAGAATAAAACAGTGTCCTTTCATTTAATTTGTAAGGTTTTGTAAATTTTATTAATGATATTATTTGTCGGCTCGTGAGTTTGATAACGCCACTATATTAAATTTTTCAAATTTGGCCACACTGTTTTTAAAAAAGCGAAAGTGTACAAACATTTCCAGCTCTTGAACATTTGTCAATTTTTGAATGTACATAAATACATATGCAGCTCTGTTCCGGTTGACATGGAACGTCGCATATGCCTTTTAATACTACTAGTATTTGATGCAACGACATCCAAAATAACATTAATTCATTCTTAAATGCCCACATGACGAGTTATACAAAGATTTAAGAAAATTCATAAATTCATTCTTAAATGTACAGTGGGTCCAGTAAATGTTCATACAAGAACAAAGTAGTTTTTAAAAGCTATATTTAGAAAAGTTTAAACGGTTTCAAATTATAATTTTGAGTTTAAAGATTTGATTTAAAAGGCAGTTAGTCTATTAAATGGCCTTTGTTTGCCACAACAAGCTTAAAGGTACGACCACACTAAGCGACGCGACACTGCAGCGGCACTACGCGACACGGCGTGTTACTTTTTGGTATATCGCATTGAAACTGTAGCGGCACAACACTTCGCTGCAAAATTTTTAATTTATTTGTGTCAAAACCGGCAAATGCTAATGCCTTTTATTTTTTCTTTTCTTGCCAAATTCTTGTCAAATGTTATGTTTATATACATACATAAAATTTTCTTCTTGAATAAAATGCATGTGAATATTCACTCACAATTCGAAATCAATTTCTTCACGTTAAAAATATAGTACGAAATGGTTCCGCTGGGTATGCCGCACCATGGTATTCTCCATAAGAATCCATCCAAAGAATACTTTTCCGCACTATGTGTACGGTCGTACCTTAAGTCTCTTTTCAAAACTGTTTCATTCGTCACGCAGCAGGTCCATTGGTATATTCTCCTACAAGTAGAGGACAGCTGCTTTAAAATCCCTATTTGTAATCCCTAAGATTCTGCAGATTATAACCCTAAATAAAAAAGTTCAACGGAATACAGTCAGGTGAAATTTGGGCCATTCCTTCTTGAGAATGAATCATTTTTTTTTTTTTTAAGTTGTGGAAAGTTTGTCCGTCATAACGACATAAAGAGAACTTATGCGCCAATATAACACATATCCGCGCATCGTCATTCTGCAAAACCGCGTAACTGTCATTTTCTGCCACAAATTGGATTTGCTCACACAAACTCTTGGCTCAATCCTTATCTATTCGTTCTGAAATATTCTAGCCAGAAATGCGATTGCTTTATAAAACAGAGAACCATTTAGAAATATGAGTGTTTTTATAATTTATGCAACCTCACATACGTGGTTTTGCATTTTCTTGATACAGAGTTTTGCATTTTTGTACTTTAAACGACGATATATATTTACTATGTCATCGTTAAAGTAATATTTTCATACGGCATTTAAAATAAAATTTAATCCAGTTTACTAGGTTTATTTTAATATATTTTATTGACAAGTGAGTATGAGCATATACTGGACACACTGTATGAAGCATTAATAAACTTTCAGCTTTGTAGATGCATAAATAATACCAAAAATCCGTTTTCAAAATTCGAATTGATACATCTGTGCCAAGGATGTCATAAAAGGGTTAAAGGATAGAAACATAATTTATGCATATGTCTTTTGAATAATATGGAGTAAACTCTACACCAACTGCCGAGTAAAGCTTTTGCATTGTAATGGGTACCACGCTCCAACTAATCACTTTCTCGTAATCGATTATTAAATTAAATATGGGTTGTCCACACATGCTTGGTTATTAGGTTATCTGGTTAAGTGGTTGTATTTTTTTATTAAGTTTACAACAATAACACACAGAACCGCATAACAATTTTTAACCAGATAACCAGGCAAGTGTGAACAACCCAATAATTTTTTGCTGTATGAAATATGTACAGGAAATTTTGTTACTCATACGCCGTGTACTCCCGCATTTGATCAATCTTAATAAAAAAACAAAAATAATCGATAATGCGAAAGTGATTAGTCGCAGCTTCGTACTTCCACCTGAAATTATTTACATAATTAATTTTTCTACAAAACGATATTTTCTCCATTTTGACACGATTAAATATTTTTTGCCGTTGGGAGATTATACCGCCAATTTCACAAAAATTATTTGCGTTAAAAATTTTATTAGTAACAAATGAAATGAAATGTTTAATAGTCTTTTTTGTATGGGAATTAATTTCAAGTATATAATAGTTGCAGCATGCA